AGAAGGTAGTCGGTTCCCCTCTAGCTGGTCTCTCCCCACTCCATGAGGTGTTTGTCGCTCTGGGCCATCGCAGGAACCCACCAGCCCTGAGCTGTTTCCTTTGCTCCCCCGGTGTCGTGGCTGCCCAGGGTCACCATGAGGCATCTCATCTGGCTGCTCTTCCTTCCAGGTAAGGCCCCGTCGCCCTGGCAGTCTGGCTGCTTTGGACCCACAGAGCCCTGGGGCAGGGGAGAAGGGAGGGGAGAAGGGAGGGGAGACCCGGCCAGGGGCTCACACGCTCAGAGACAGCAGCTCCTTGGGCATCACACTCAATGTGATTGGGGAGTGGTTGGGAGCCAGGACTCCCAGGTGAGTTCTATGCCAGCTGTTGGTGGGGAGTGGGGCCTAACAGTTAGAGCAGGCAGGCTGGGAGCCAGGACTCCCAGGTTCTTTCCAATGCACAGGTGGGGAAAGTGAGGCACAGAGCTCTCCTCCACCAGTCTCCTGAGATGCAGTTTGGCACCAAAGGTGCCCAGCCAGCCTGCTCCTTCTTTCCAGCTTTGTCATTCTGCTACTTCCAGGCTTCTTGTGTAACTGTAACTCACCCGTCAAGGTCCCCACATCCCTGATCACTTGGACGGGGGCCTGCCTGTACATCCCCTGCAGCTATGAACACTGCTTCTCCTTCTACAAACGCTCCCTCAGCAACCTGACCTGGTACCTGAATCCAAAGTACAGCAACAAAACGAAAGAGTTCCATGGCACAGTGGTCTACAGCAACAGAGACCCCATCAGCCCGGCCTTCCAAGGGCGCGTACAGTTCCAGAAGGACCAGGACAAATATTGCAGCCTGCAGCTGTCTGACCTGCAGCCTAGCGAGAACGGCACCTATGGCCTGAGACTGATCGCCTCGAGCAATGCGAATAAGTGGAAGTGGATTACTAGAATCCTTGTGAATGTGCTGGGTAAGAGAGAATCCTGGGCTTCCTTGGTGGATCAGATGGCAGACTCAGAAACCATCCCTGCACTGACCATTAGACCCCACTCCCGTCCCTGAGCTGGGGAGAGAACCCAGGAATCCCAGGCTCCCAGCCCCCCTGCTCCCCAAACACTAGACCCTGTTTGGGTACCAGACATTCCTGGGGACACAGCTCAGTGCACCTGTGATAACAGCCAGGCCGTCTGCTCTGATTTTCCCAACCCCATCTCAGCCAGTTAATTTGGTAACAAATCTCCCGTGGTAGAGTTAGAACGCCCAGTCTAGCCTGCACACAGCACTGACCTCTGCCAGGTGAGCCAAAGGAGAAGGGCTTTTACCTACCGGCAGCAGTAGGTTGTTATCCTCCATGCTGCTCAGCTGCACCTCTAGCAAAACAGAACAGAGGGTTGGGTGGAAACCTTCAAAGTCGTTTCTGCTTGTGTGCTATTTTCATGTTTGTTCTGAAAGGTTTTACCTTCAAATTCTGAATTCCATTTCCCACTTGCCTTTTGTTCCCTTTGCCCCAAGTGCAGCACAAGGAGGGATGCTGGGGCGTTGCATTTTGTTATTTCACATTTTCCTTTTCTCTCATGGATCCCAGGGGAGTAGTTTCATTGCTCTGTACTTCAGTTTCCTCAAATGAAAATCAGGCAGAATTATCGCTTGTGTATTTGCACTGCAGTCTCTTTGGGGCAGGGACTGTCTGGGTAGCACCTGGACGACGGGGCCCTGCTCTCTGCTGGCCCAGGAACTGTACCTAACGATAATGTTTTCTCCTTACTAACTTTTCCCTTTGCCCGTGACACAGATTCCCCTCCGGCTCCTGAGATCGAAGCACCCAGTGAGTTCAGGGAGTCGACCTCGGCCCATGTGGTTTGCTCTATAGCCTATTACTGCCCCGACTACAAAATAACCCTGAGCTGGGGGGGGTTGTTGCCTCACAACCCAGAGATCTTCACGACATCGTCTGTTGAAAACATAATGACCATGAATACACTGACTTTCACGCCCACCTGGGAGGACCATGGGAAAAATGTAACCTGCCAGCTCAGCACCCCGACAGGGACACTGAGCTCCGAGAGCAGCTTGGTGCTACATGTGAAATGTGAGTGAGGGGGACTTGAACCAGGAGTCCCTGGGTCTGACAGCCCCAGCCCCACCAGGTGCTCCGGTGCTGACCTGTAAAGTGCAGCACAGGCTGCAGCCTCTGGTGGGCGCCAGAGGGGGGGGGGGGCCAGGTGAGGGGAAGCGGATTGGCCAACAGGGCAAGCACTGGAAGCATTGTGAAGGAAGAGTGGGGCCCTCCCATTGGGCAGAGATGGGCACCAGGGGCAGAGCCAGTGTCCCCCCCGCTGAGGGGGGAAGGTTCCATGGCCCATTCCCCCCTGCTCTGAGCCAGCCAGTCCCCTGGCCTGGGGTGGATGGGAGCCAGCGCCTCCTAGAGGGGAAAAAACCGCATGGCCCAGCCCCACCCCATTGTCCAGATCCCAGCTGTTCACCCCCGGTTTGGTTTGCTGCAGATGCCCCGAGGAACGTCCAGTTGACAGTGACCCCCAGACAGACCATCAAAGAGGGAGACAGAGTCACCCTGAAATGTGAGACCAATGGCAGCAACCCTGCGGTCTCTGTATACAACTGGAAGAAGGACGGACTGCAGCTGTACCAGGAGCAGGAGCAGAGCTGGGGGTTTTATGCCGAGGCAGACGAGCATTCGGGATCCTATATCTGTGAGGCTGCCAATGAAATACGCACGGTCCCATCCCCAGCGGTGCGGATACAAGTCCAGTGTGAGTGTGGGGGCTGGGCCAGACGGGAGGCCAGGGGCTGTGGAACTGCGTGAGACCAGACACCCATACAGAGGGCAGGGAGGGAGGCAAGGAGTGTTACCGGGCTGCCCCGGACACTTGTGATGTGGCCAGCAGAGGTGGTGAAATAACCGGGGCTTGTGTCCTGGGAAAAGACAGGAACTTAAGGCAGTTAAAGGGGAATCTTCCTTAGCTCTCGCAGTACAAGGTCTCTGACTCGCGACAAGATAGTTCTGGTTCCAGCCAGCAGAGGGCAGGGGTCTCGTCTCCCACACGTGGCTGGTTCTGACCTGTTCCCTTCCGGTTACGCCCTCCGAGCAGGATTCAACCCCCCAGCAGGGAGAGAGGGGAGCACGCACACCCTCCACAGAGCAGGGCTCAGCCTCTCCTGTGGGCGGGGAAGGAAAACCAACCCTAAATGCTGGAACAATGGATTTGATTGCGCCCTGTGGGACGTGTCAGCCATCGCACCCGGCAAAAAGAACTGACCCCATTTGAAGCAGAAAAACCCGGCTGCTTGAAAGGGTTGGAAAGGATTTCAGCCCTCCACCTCGGGACAGCCGGAGCGTCTGGCACCGGATGAATCTGGCGCGTTACACTCGGTGCCCGGCGTATGCAGAAAACAGCGTGTGACGCAAGGGGAACGTTCGCTTTTGGGGTGAAATGTTCCCGATTGTTCTAAAAACCCCACAGAGCCCAAAGCACGTCCGCCCCGCCCGGCTTTTGGAAGTGTTGCCACAAACGCAGTGCCGGCCCTACCACCAGGCAAACGGAGGCGGCCGCCTCAGGTGCCAGACCGGGGGCGGGGGCTGCCACTAAGACCCAGAGTGTAGAAAGTTGTGTCTGCTGCTGGTGCACAGAGATGGTGCGGTGCGGTGCTGGAGGAAGGAGGGCACAAGAGACCTTTCAAAGTTTTGGCCCAGTTGAGGGGGCATCATTTGAGCTCCCCGCCTCAGGTGCCAAAATGTTGTGGGCCGGCCCGGCACAAGCAGATCATCCCCTGTGGGCCTGTAGGAGAGGCAGCAAGGGGGGAGCAGGAGCTGGTGCTGGGGGACAGGAGGTGCTGCTGCAAAGCAGCCTCTGCCTGTGGTGGGCTGAAGGTCTCCAAGGCAGAGGCTGCTCTAGCAGCAGCCCCTGGCCGTGGGGGTCCCAGTGGGGAGCTGGGCCCCACGTCTGCTGTTGATACCAAGCAGCCCCTGTTCGCAGTGGCCCGGGCTGGTTGTGTCCAGGGGAGCATCCCCTGTCCGTGGCCAGGCCTGGCCGCTGCGATGCGGGGCTGCTGGACTCCCAGCTCACGCTTCTCATTTCTTTTGGATCTGGACGTCCAACACTCGGGTCATCTGAAGAAGTGGGCTGTACCCACGCAAGCTCATGATCCCATCGACAAGTTTTGTTCATCTTTAAAGTGCTACCAGACCATTTGTTGTTTTTTTAAGTTTCTCCTGTTACAGACTAACTCAGCCCCCCCTCCCCGAAGCTTTCTTACTCACTGACGGGCACGAATACAAAGATTCAGCCTTAAGCTGTGGCCCCGGACCCAAATGTGGCCAGTGGGAGCCAGTCAGCACCTCTGGGGCTCTGCCCACAAGGCTAAGCAGCCTGCACTTCTCACAACGCCCCAGAGCTCCCGGCACCTCCTCTCCGGGGGCTAGAAATGCCGACACCCTGTACCTGTCTGTCCCAGCCAGCCTGTCCACTTGTGTCTATGCTCACCCTGCTGGGGAGACACCTCACCGTTGTGGAGCATGTTCCCAGTGGAAGCCACGTTCAAAGGATCCCACCCGCGGGCGGCGTGTTGAGCCCGCGTAAACCCAAACTGCACCAGGGGCCTCAAACAAACAGGCCACGGGCCGCATGTTGAGGAGCCCTGCTCAGGAAAAAGGATTTGCCCATGTGTGAGATGTTCACAGGGGAATGGAGTTCAGTGCACTCTCTGCCACTGAACTCTCAGGGCAACCTTGGTCAATTCACTTAAGGTAGCCCATGGAAGAGTCCATTTAAATCAGGCCTGTGTGTTCTGTTTATTCCCCAGATGCACCCAAGGACACTCGTGTGGAACTGCTGACAGGCTCGCAGATTCGGGAAGGAACCATGGTTATAGTCAGTTGCTTCTGTAAGGCTGTCCCACCTGTCAGTCTCTACATGTGGTACTGGAATGGCCAGCACATTGAGTCCCAAACCCAGAAGAATCTGCACTTTGACAAAATCCTTTCCAACCAGTCTGGATCCTACCACTGCGAGCCTGAGAATGAAGTTGGGACGTCAAAATCACGGGCCATTATGATTGACGTGCTGTGTGAGTAACCAGGGCACCAGCAGGGGTGGTATTGGGCCCCGACACAATCCAGGATATGCGCCCAAACTTGGCATGGCAGAGCCCCCCCCTGTCTCCCAGAGGTGCAGGAGCTGTAGCCTCCCTCTAGGAGCTACATTCTCCATCTGGAGAAGTATTGGTGTGAGCGGTGGGATCCTGATGTATATCCCAGGTGTCCATGTTTGGGATACATAGAGCCCCCTGCTGGGACAAAAGGCCCCAGGGCAGCTGGGATGAGAGTTAACGCCCCTTTGGCATGGCTCCCTCTCTGGAAGCAATGGTCTCAGGCTCTCTGCAGACTCAGGCAGTGTTGCTAGGTCAGTCACACTTGGGGCAGCTCCTTCCTCTCTTAGCAACAGCCTCTCTGCAGACTCGGAAAGGCCTCGGCTCTGCTTAGGGCAGCTCCCTTCTTTCAATGTCCTGCCCTTAACACCCCTCTCCCCAAACACCCCGACACATCCCGACTTCGCTTCTTTCCAGATTCCCCCAAGTGGGTCCGAATCACCCTCGAAACCCCCCATCGCATCCTGGAAGGCAGCGCAGTGACGCTCAACTGCTCCGTGGGCAGCAGTAACCCCCCAGTCATCAAGTACAGGTGGTACCAGGATGTCAGACAGTATAGAGAGACCCAGGAGGGCATCCTCCCCTTCGTTGCCAGCGAGGAGCAGTCGGGTAACTACAGCTGCGCAGCTGAGAACGCAGTCGGCTCTATACAGTCCTCCCCTGTCTCAGTGGATGTGCAGTGTAAGTACCCTCCTCCCGGCTTCTCAACGTCCTCGTGGGATTTTCTGCTGCAAAATGTTGTGGAAAAAAATGGTTCTTCCAGTTCAACATTGTTATTCCATTAAAAAGCCCCAAAATTCAGTTTTTTCCCCTTAGAAAAAAATGGTTTGATCGCCCATTGTTTGGCCTTCATAGAATCAGAGAATACTAGGATTGGAAGGGACCTCAAGAGGTTATCAAGTCCAGTCCCCTGCCTTCATGGCAGGACCAAATACTGTCTAGACCATCCCTGATAGACATTTATCTAACCTGCTCTTAAATATCTCCAGAGATGGAGATTCCACAACCTCCCTGGGCAATTTATTCCAGTGTTTAACTACCCTGACAGTTAGGAACTTCGTGTGTTTTTAAAATTTGCCTAGTGAGAAAAGTGACTTTTCAACATTTATTTTCCTGCTTTGATTTTTCTAGCAGAAACGTGGGGGTGAAAACAACAGAAATGGGGCTTTGATTCTGTTATCGATTTTGTTTTCATTGTTTCAAGAAACATTTTTCACATTTTCCCCGGGGGAAGTCACTGCTTGATTACCCACTGGGAACCTGAGAAAAAAGATTAGACATGTTACTTAGCCTTTACAAAAACAACAAATCATTTTTCATTTGTTTTTCTGGCTTTTCCCCTTCCCATTTTATTGCATTGAAAAAGTATGTGCTGAAGTTTTTAAAAGTGTTTTTTATATCCACAATTAAGCCTTTTACTTCAAAAAATATAGTTTTCTTGCTTTGTAGGGCTTAATTCACATTATTCTTCACTGGAAAAGTATCAGAAAAGTTTTTCAAGTGTAGGGTGTATTTTACTAACTCATAACAAACCCTTTCTCATACTTTCCCAGTGGAGAAAAGTGAGCTTTTGAACTCCCCTGAAAAAATAGGGTAAAAATTATTTGAAATGTCTAAAAATGAAAAAGAAGTGTTCCCCCCAATTTCACTCCCTCTTTTATTCCTTTCTGCCTATTTTCAGTAAATAACCACAAAGAAGTGAGCACTTCATCTCATTCTCACAGCCAAAATTTGTACAAAATCATAAGGATTCCCCTCCTCCCATATCACATGTGGAATCTCCCCCCAAACAATCAACCTTCTTGGCAGAAATTACTATTCTTCTTCATGAGACGAATCTTTTGGGGTGAACCCCCAGTTTTCTGGTCAATGGGTCCCAGATCCCAGCTGGGTCACTGTACCTATCGCCCCCTGTGTGTCAGTGGGGCTGGATCCAAGCTGGGGCCAATGGGCTGGCAGACACAGGGTGGTTGTCTCTCTGCAGATGCGCCCAAGGGAGTCAATGTGGTGCGGGAGCCGCTGGGGTCCATCAAGGAGGGTGACACGGTGACCCTGAAGTGCTCGGTGACCAGAGCCAATCCCCACGCCCTGCAGTACACCTGGTACAAGGACAATGTGCTGCAGGGCGAGGGCTCCGACACACTGCGCCTGCCGGCCATGAAGTCGGCCGATTCAGGCCACTACCACTGTGAAGCTCAGAACGCCGTGGGCTCCACCGTCGCCAGACCCTTCCCGCTGGATGTTTGGTGTAAGTCACCAACCCCCGGACCCTTCCCAGAGACAGGGAGAGAACCCAGGAGTCCTGGCTCCAACCCCCCCAACTCCAACCACTAGATCCCACTTCCTTCTCAGAGCTGGGAAAGGAACCCAGGAGTCTTAGCTCTCAGGCCCCCATCCTGGACCTGGGGAAGGAAGTAATGGCTCCCATCTCTAACCACTATGCCCCACTCCCCTCCCAGAGCTGGGAAAGGAGCCTAGGAGTCCTGGCTTCCACATCTAACCTCTAGTTCCCACTCTGCTGACAAAGCTAGGGGAGGAACCCAGGAGTCCTGGCTCCCAGCCCCCGGCTCTAACCACTAGTGCCGGCTCCCTCCCCAGATGCTCCGCGGGATGTGCAGATGTCAGTGGCCCCGCGGGGGCAGATCGTGGAGGGGATGGAAGTGATGCTGCGGTGCCGGGCCGACGCCCAGCCGGCCGTGCTGAAGTATGACTGGTACCGGGACGGCCAATGGCAGGAGCGCGAGGTGCAGGATACGCTGCTCATCGAGAACGTGGACGTTGGGATATCTGGGCACTACCACTGCCGGGCCAGCAACCAGATCTCCTCCGGGGACTCCCCGCCTGTCCTGCTCTACATCCGCTGTAAGGGGCCCGTGTGCTGCAGCCCCTCACTCCTGACTTGCAGCCCCTGCTGGAATCCTCCTGGCCCCCCAGCTCTGCTGGCTCCCCTCATTCCTGCCCCACAGACCTGCTGTCCCAGCCCAGGGCTCCCCCATTTCTGCTGGCTCCCCTCAAGCCTGAGCTGCTCTAACCACTAGTCTCCACTCCTGTGCACCCCTTCCTTGCTGTGTTTTGCAGACAACTCCAGGACTATAGCTAAGAAAGCTGCTCTGGGGGTCGGCGTGGGCCTGGCCTTTCTCTTCCTACTAGGCATGCTGTTCTGCACCCTTCAGCAGTGGTAAGCAGAAAGCTCCCTCACCCCCCGCCACGGCCAGCCCTGAGCACTAGGGACCAGCACCCATGGAGCTGGCAGCCTGAGCTCTAGGACAGAGTAGTGTAGCCGTAAAATGCTCCCCCCTCCCCAACTACGGGACCCTCATGCCCCTCCTGGACATGGGGATAGAACCCAGGAGTCCTGCCTCCCCTCTAACCACTGGACACCACTACCTTCTCAAAGCTAGGGGTAGAACGCAGGCGTCCTGGCTCCCAATCCTGCTGCCCTAACCATTAGACTCCACTCCTTTCCTGAGCATGGTTTAGAACCCAGGAGTCCTGACTCCCAGCCCCACCTGCTCTAACCACTAGACCCCACTGTCACCCCTCCCCCAAGCCAGGGGTACAACCCAGGAGTCCTGACTCTTTACCTTGCTCCACTCCTGTCTTTGCAGGAAGAAGCATCATCTCCCCGAGCTTGTTCTGGAGCCTATGAGCAGGAGGAGCAGGAGATCCTTCTTAGTGAGACATTTTTGATAGGGGGCACTGTGCTGCAGGAGGCGGGGGCTGTTCCCTGGCCGGCAGAGCTAGGCTGATGCCCCAGTGCGACACCAGGGGGCGCTGTGCTGAGCTGATGCCCCAGTGAGGCGCAAGGGGGCGCTGTGCTGAGCTGAGACGATGCCCCAGTGCGGCGCTAGGGGGCGCTGTGCTGAGCTGGGCCGATGCCCCAGTGCGGCGTTAGGGGGTGCTGTGCTGAGCTGAGCCGATGCCCCAGCGTGGCTCTAGGGGGCGCTGTGCTGAGCTGAGATGATGCCCCAGCGTGGAGCTAGGGGGCACTGTGCTGAGCTGGGCCGATGCCCCAGTGCGGCGCTAGGGGGTGCTGTGCTGAGCTGAGCCGATGCCCCAGTGTGGAGCTAGGGGGCGCTGTGCTGAGCTGAGCCGATGCCCCAGCGTGGAGCTAGGGGGCGCTGTGCTGAGTTAGGCCGTTGCCCCAGTGCGGCGCTAGGGGGCGCTGTGCTGAGCTGGGCCAATGCCCCAGCGTGGAGCTAGGGGGCGCTGTGCTGAGCTGAGCTGATGCCCCAGCGTGGAGCTAGGGGGCACTGTGCTGAGTTAGGCCGATGCCCCAGCGCGGCGCTATGGGGTGCTGTGCTGAGCTGATGCCCCAGCATGGAGCTAGGGGGTGCTGTGCTGAGCTGGGCCGATGCCCCAGCGTGGAGCTAGGGGGCGCTGTGCTGAGTTAGGCCGTTGCCCCAGTGTGGCGCTAGGGGGCGCTGTGCTGAGTTAGTGGGGCGCTCGGGGTGCTGTGCTGCAGGGCATTGCCCCAAGGCAGATCAGAGCTGAATTTCTAGCCCTGAGCTGGGTAACATTTCCTGAGCCAGGGCCTGCATTTTGGGACAGCAAACCCAGCATGTGGTACCCCAGGGTGGGAGATTCTGTCCTGCCTCTGCCAGTCCCTCTCTGAGGAGTTTTCTTCATTTCCCACCCTACGCCTGTAGCGTCATGCAGCTGCTCCCCTGCGACCCTGCCCCACAAGTGGCTGCACCTTAGCGCTGGGTGAGCCGGCCCCAGGCGGCGTTCGGCGCGGCTGTTCCCCAGGGGCACTCCCCAGACGTGCCTGCGTCTCCATGCTGGCAGAGCCATTCCTGGGCACACCGTGCAAGGTTTTGTCTTTCTCTCAGCCTAGGAGACGGGCACCTCTGAAACCCCAGCGGCCCGTCAGCTCTGTGGGGTGCCTGAATGGAGCCTCCTCAGAGGCCATCAATTATGCAACACTCCAGTTCCCACCCAGTCGTCGCCAGGGGCAGGCCGCCTCTGCCAGGTATAAAGAGGGGAAAGAACCCGCCAGCCCTGGCTTCTCCCAGAGCTGGGGAGGGACCCGCGAGTCCTGTCTGCTTCCATTAAAAGCTGCTGTTCTCCTCCCAGGGGGCCAGGAAACTCAAAGCAGGCAGTGGAGCCGACCAGCCCGGACGAAGCTGCGATTTACAGTGTGGTGAAGAAACCCAAACCGCTGCCCAAGGTACCAGCCTGGCGTTACCTTGGGTCCCCCAAGAGCCCCGTCCCACCAGAGCCTGCGTCCTCCAGGTCCTTGAAGTGGGGTCCTGTCGGGGACGCGTGTGCCGGAGTGGCTGGGCTAGCTGGGGGCTGCGGGTCACGGGGCAGGGCCCCTGGCAGGGCTGGAGGGCGGTGGGCTGTACCCCGCGAGGCCTAACGCACCCACACGTAGCAGGCTGGGCCAGTTGTTTTTCTGCCTCTAGTTCCCCTTTCTGGGTCACTCATGTGACTTCGAATACATTTTTGCTCTCGAAATAAAAGCATTTGTTGAGATAAGATAAAAATAGGAGGCTATTCCGCTGGCAGCTGGAACCCAGCCCAACCTGGGCTCTGCCATGTGCCTGCTCCACCTTCGTGTGACAGCTGAGCCCCCCCGGCGGTGCTGGGTGGCAGGCGGTTGTGGGTCGGAAATGGGGGACAGTCCAGTGCTGGGAGAGCAGGGGATAGAGAGTGGGGGGGCACCTCAGGGCCAGTTGGCAGCTGAGCCCCCCCGGCGGTGCTGGGTGGCAGGCGGTTGTGGGTCGGAAATGGGGGACAGTCCAGTGCTGGGAGAGCAGGGGATAGAGAGTGGGGGGGCACCTCAGGGCCAGTAGAGCACGGGGTGGTGGTGGGGGGCAGCCCTGGGCTGGGAGAGCAGG